AGAAAGACAATTCATATATGAAGGTGACCGTTCTACTGACCCAAAAAGACCAAGGAGACTCCCACTAAACTACAAGGGTAAGAGGGGAATAATGCCGACATGGAAATATTCCGAGAGACAGAAGGCAAAGGCTTTACTAGTCGAGGAGGCGTATCAGAGCTTACTTAGTAGAGGAGTTGAAGGTCTACCACCAACAATGGGAGGTAGATGGAGAACGGATGATCCTCAGGTAAATGCGGAGATGAAGAGGTTAGAGAACCTTAGGAACCCCAAGCGTCCAAGAAACAGACCACCAAAGGCCAAGGCTGACGGTGCTGTTAAGGCTCCCCGAGGACGACCACAAAAGGTTAAGTCCGACGCTGAGGTTGTGATTCCAAAGAGACGTGGAAGACCACCAAAGGTTAAGTCTGACGCTGGGGTTACGATTCCAAAGAGACGTGGAAGACCACCAAAGGTTAAGGTATCCGAAACACTAAAACCTATGGTTAAAAGACAGACTGTCGCGGAGAGGTTCATAAGTCAAAACCGAATAAAACTCTCGGTTCCCGCGGATAGCGTAATAACTCAGGTGGGACCAAGTAAGTTCACGGTGACTGTGGATCTTAGTAAGAAACCAACAAGGAAAGCTCCTGAGGTACCGAAGGGTGTGGCTCCATGGAAACCTATTCCTAAACCAAGAACTGCGATCCCTAAGGAAAAACCTGTTCCTAAACCTAGAACTGTAATTCCTAGGGAAAGACCAGTTCCTAAACCAAGGACAAAAAAGCCAGTGCCTCCTCCAAAGTTAAGAAAGCCTGTGAAGGTAACTAAGGAAGTTGGGGAACAGCCAGTAGTGGTCGCACCAGAGGAACATGAAATTGATCCTTTTGGAACATACCTTGAGAAGCCATCCTATAGGAAAATAGAAACTGCCGCAAACGGAGCAGCTGTGACTTACTCGATAACTCCAAATTATATGGATCCCCTAAACCAGATGACCGCAAGTAGGCAGGTGGTGAGGGGAGTATTAGTGAACGAGCTGAAGAGAATGGGAGGTCTGAAATATACGGAAACCATCAAGGTAAAAATGTCAAAGGAAATCGGTAATGATAAAACAAAGAAGGATTCAATATACTTCAAATCGAAAACAGGAACCGCAACCAACTTCGAGGACATCGAAAGCACTGCCGCTCAAAACCAACTGACAATCTTATCCAGAATTGAAACCTTCCAGAACTTAGGTTCAAATTGGATTATCCTAAACATTGAAAGCCACTACGTTAATATTGCGATGTATAAACCTCTAAAGGGTAGTTCATATATGAAATTACCCGCAGACATTAGTAATCCAAAATGTGGTCTCATAAATATGCAGAACAACGACGAGAAATGTTTTATGTGGAGTCATGTGAGACATGTGAGACCAAAGGCTAGAAGAGCAGCAGCCATAACAAAGCAAGATGTTGAGTTCGCAGAAAACCTGGACTATGAGGGTATTGACTTCCCTGTAAAAATAAGCGACATTGATAAAATTGAGAGAAAGAATTCAATAAGTATATCAGTGTTCGGTTATAAGGGCAAAAAGCAGTTCTACCCAATCAGGAACTCTAAGACCAAATATGACGAACATATGGAGCTGCTGCTGTTAGGTGATAACGAGGGTGGTAACCACTACGTTCTAATAAAGGATGTAAATAGAATGCTCTTTAGTGTTAGTGGAAACTCGAACAAGAAACACTTCTGTTTACATTGCCTTCATAGTTGCGTTAGCGAAGAATCATTGAAGAAACATAGTGAAACATGTATTGAGGTAAATGGAACTCAAGCCACAAAGCTTCCAAGTGAGGGTACAAAAATAAAGTTCAAAAATCATAGAAACTCAATGCCCGCACCCTTTGTGATCTATGCTGACTTTGAGTCTATGCTAGTTCCTGAGGAGAGAAAAGTTGACTCTGAAGACACTGAGGAGAAGAGTTCTACGGAACTTTACCAAACACATAAAGCTTGTAGTTTCGGGTTGAAAACAGTATGTCATTATGATGATCAGTACTCCGGTGAATACATAAGCTACGTTGGTGAAGACGCTACAGTAGTCTTCTTGAAGACAGTTCTGAAGGAGTCCATTAAGTGCAGGGAGATGGTGAATAAAATCTTCAAGAAAAAGATGGTAATTACACCAGAGCAAGAAGCTGAGTTCTGGATGACAAGGAACTGCTCCATATGTGGCAATGACTTAGGTGATGACAGAGTGAGAGACCACGACCATGTAACTGGACTTTACCGTGAAGCTGCCCATAATATGTGCAACTTGAAATATAGAATCACATGGAAAGTTCCAGTGGTCTTCCACAATCTAAGAGGTTACGATAGCCATCTAATAATGCAGGAGATTGGTAAGTTTAAGATGAACATCAACGTGGTCCCAAACAACATGGAAAAATACATTTCCTTCTCACTAGGTAAAAGTCTTGTGTTCATTGACTCAATACAATTCATGGCTTCTTCCCTGGAGGCACTTGTGAGTAACCTTTCACCTGAAGACTTCAAGATAGTCGGTCAGCGGTGGCAAGGTGAGGACTTCGATCTTGTAAGACAAAAAGGTATATTCCCTTATGAATACCTGGACGACATTAGCAAGCTTGACACTGAGGGACTTCCAAGTAAAGACAAATTCTACTCATCTTTATATGAGTCTGAAGTGAAAGAAGAAGATTACCAAAAAGCTCTAAAAGTCTGGGATCACTTCAAGATGAAAACAATGAGAGACTACCACGATCTCTACCTGGAGACTGACGTTCTTCTTCTAGCAGATGTTTTTGAGAATTTCAGGAAGACCTGCTTGGAAAATTACAAGCTTGACCCTGCTCACTACATCTCAGCACCAAGTCTAAGTTGGGACGCATTCCTAAAACAGTCAGGTGAGGAAATAGAATTGGTAAGCGATATGGATATGTTCCAGTTCTTCGAGAAGGGAATGAGAGGTGGGATAAGTCACATTGCTCATAAACACTCTACAGCAAATAATAAGTACATGGAAACGTACGATGAAGAGGCTGAAAACAAGTTCCTTATGTACCTCGATGCCAACAATTTATATGGCTGGGCAATGTCCCAACCTCTACCAAATGGAGAGTTTCAGTGAGTTGAGGAAGTTGATAAAATAAACCTTGATGACTACTTAGGAGACAGTGGAAGGAGTATGGTTCTTGAGGTTGATATGGAATATCCAGAAGAACTTCACAACCTACATAATGGTTATCCATTAGCTCCAGAAAGTAAGGAAATTAATGCGTCAATGTTGTCGGACTACGCGAAGAGTATTGCTGATAAATTCCAGCTTACGATTGGAGGTGTAAGAAAACTGGTGAACTCACTAGGTCCCAGGAAGAATTACGTTCTACATGCTCGCAATCTGAAACTATATACTGAACTCGGAATGAAACTTACGAAGGTTCACAGAGCTGTCTCCTTCAAGCAGTCAACTTGGCTGAAAAACTATATTGACTTTAATACTCAAAAACGATCAGTAGCTAAAAATGCATTTGAGAAAAACTTTTTCAAACTTATGAACAACTCCATTTACGGAAAAACCATGGAGAACTTGAGGAAGAGAGTTGATGTAAAATTAGTGTCGTCGGAAAACGATCTCCTAAAACTTACAGCGTCGCCGTGCTTCCAGTCACATAGAATTATGAATGAGAACTTAATTGTGGTAAAGAGAATGAAGGAAGTTCTAACTCTGAATAAACCGTGCTATGTGGGAATGAGCATCCTGGACTTGTCTAAGACTCTGATGTACGACTTCCATTACAACACAATCAAGAAGGAGTACGGTGACAAGTCAAAGCTCCTATTCACAGACACTGACAGTCTAATGCATGAGATCAAGACTGATGACGTGTATGAGGACTTCAAAAGAATCGGTGAGAAGCAGGACTGTTGGGACAACTCAAATTATCCGAAAGATTCTCCATATTACTCAGCTCATAATAAGAAGGTAATTGGAAAGTTTAAGGATGAAGCTGAAGGAGTACCAGTGATTGAATTCGTAGGGTTAAGGTCAAAGATGTACTCCTACGTGAAGGAAAGTGGTGGAGGTGGAATGACAGCGAAAGGTGTGAAAAAGTACGTGATCAGAAACAAACTCACTCACGAAAACTTTAAGAACGTAATCAAGACCAAAGGTAGGATGAGACATAAGATGAACACAATCAGAAGCATCAAACATAAAATCGGAACTTATGAATTGAAGAAAGTTACCCTTAGTTGTTTTGATGACAAGAGATACCTACTTGAAGATGGAGTTGCAAGTTACGCGTATGGACATCACTCAATAGGAGAAGCGGAGGCCGAGGTGGTGATTGAAGAAAAAGTGGAACCAAGGTGTGTACTAGAAAGGGTTAAAACTCAGAGTGAATACTGTAGACTCGAGGAAGCAGTAGAACTCTACGAAGGCCCTCCCTGGGAAAATCTAGAACCGAAAGAAGAGAAACATATTCCCAGACCAGAATATAAAGTAGTGATTCCACTGAAGAGGTTTAAGTTCAAAAAACCAACACCGTTAGGGGTAGTCGTAACTGATGAGAATCATCTGAGGAAAAACTACGACATACTTCCAAAAGAACAGAAGAGATACCTAGGAGTGGTGCTGGGTGAAAAAGCAAAGTCACTAAGTGTTCAAGCAATAAGAACACCAGGAAGTGATAAGTTGATTGTAATTGGATTTTGAGTAAATTGTTAAATAGAGAATTTAGAGATTGGATGAAAGTCGACTGGAAATATTCAACGTTGAATATGGGCGGAGAAAGTGGTCTAGAAAAATTGACGAGAATACTGCAGGATTCTTGTTGATTTAAGACGAAAATAAAAAAGTGATGATAGAGCCTAGATCAGTTAGTGGTCTAGAACCCTCATTCCCTATACTACTCTTATGTTTAGTTAGGGTGCTTGCGTCAGAAAATCTTTTGCGGCAAACATCACATTCATAAGGTTTGTCTCCAGTGTGCGTTCTCTTATGAACCGCTAGGTGACTTGAGTGCAAAAATCGTTTGTTGCAAACATCACATTCATAAGGTTTTTCTCCAGTATGTGTTCTCGTATGTACAGTTAAATGACCTGACTTTGAAAATCTTTTGCTGCAAACATCACATTCATAAGGTTTCTCTCCAGTGTGTGTTCTTTTATGTACAGTTAAGTTGCCCGAGCATGAAAATGTCTTCTTACAAACATCACATTCATAAGGTTTATCTCCAGTATGTGTTTTTTTATGGGTAGCTAAGTTGCTCGATTGTGAAAATCTTTTTTTGCAAACATCGCATTCATAAGCTTTGTCTCCGGTGTGACAATAAGTGTGTGTTCTTTCATGTCTAGTTAATGAGCTTGACTTTGAAAATCTTTTATTGCAAACATCACATTCATAAGGTTTGTCTCCAGTGTGTGTTCTTTTAGTTTTATGCATGTCTCACCAAATTTCCTATCGTAGAAAATACCAATTGTTAGAAACCTCGCATTTCCTAGACATGGTTTCAGCTTTTGATCTTTTCCCCATACGGTCAAATATCGATAAAAATATCACCCAACTGTTCCCTCGAGTCGTTCTTTATTAAATCTTTATAACACTTTGGTTGTTACAGAATTTCTGATCATAAAAACGAGAATATTCGGAGACACAGTTTGCAAACAACACGAGTATCAAAAATATGGCGCCCAGAAAGAATTCATGTGGTGCTTCCACTTCACAAAAGCGAAATTTCGCAAGATTTCGCGACAGATACCGGAGAATAAAAGCAAAAACATAAACGAAAAAATAAATTAACCCACCCTCATGGTACAGGATGGATTCTATTCAATAGAGGAAACTGATGCATCTTCCTCGCAGCGATTTGTTCTGCCAGGCATGTACTAAAAGGCAAAACGTCGAAACGAAACGACCGAAACGAAACGGCCGAAAATGTAAATTACAGGAAAACTGGAAAATATTAAAATATGAAATTTACCGGACATTTTATTGACGACTCACTTTAGGGAGCGGTCATTATTTATGGCGGGGCGTGGCACCGAAGAGAAAGGGATTGGGTTAACAAAATTTTGAGTAAGTAAAAGGTTGGGGTGGGCAAAAAAATGAAAATTTTTTATAGGTCCAGGGCAGGCAAAAAAATGAAAATTTTTGATTGGTCCGGGGTGGGCAACAAAATGAAAATTTTTGATAGGTCCGGGGTGGGACAAAAAAAAAATTCTGATAGGTCCGGGGTGGCAAAAAAATGAAAATTTTTGATAGGTCCGGGGTGGGACAAAAAAAAAAGAAAATTTCTGATAGGTCCGGGGTGGGCAAAAAAATGAAAATTTTTGATAGGTCCGGGGTGGGACAAAAAAAAAAGAAAATTTCTGATAGGTCCAGGGCTGGCAAAAAAATGAAAATTTTTGATAGGTCCAGGGTTGGCAAAAAAAATGAAAATTTTTGATAGGTCCGGAGTGGGACAAAAAATGAACAGTTTTGATAGGTCCGGGGTGGGACAAAAAAATGAAAAGTTTTGATAGGTCCGGGGTGGGCAAAAAAATTATATTTTTTTATAGGTCTGGGAATATCCCCCTTGGGGAGTATTCCCCTTGGTGATTATCACTCGGGGAGTATTCCCCTTGGTGATTATCAGGAAATATTTAGCAATTATTCGTCGAAGGCGAAGTGATTACCAGTGAATATTCAACAAGACGAAGTCGAGGTGAATATTCACCGTACGTAACAACTGAACCTGAGGCGAATAATTGTTTTAGCATAAATTTTTAATGAATAAAACAAAATATCCGAATACGAGTTCAATTAAATTTCAGAAATAAAACTGTTTTCAGCCCGTTCACTAATAGTGTTGCAGTGTTTCTTTTACGCACATGCTTTCAAAATGGCTTCGTGTGTGACTTTATTGTTTTATTACAAAGTTGTTTCCTCGATTTCTACTTGGCATATAAACACAATCACACAATGACTCTTTCGCCAGACTTAGAATTAAAAATAGTTTCTGTTTAGCATTAATTTCATCGGGAAATGGCTGAGGAATTTGGTAAACTGAAATGTAAAACTATATGGTTCGAAATAAAGTTTTCCACTTTTTACTTTACAAGTTTTGAAAACACAATACAGCGGCCAGAACACCATACAGCACAATGAAAACATGACATATCAAAAGAGATAGTATTGTACAAATTGGAAAATATATAGCATACAAAATAAAATGGATTTTAAAGAATATCACAGCAAGTATTGGTGTATTGTACTCAGGTGAATAAGATCCTTGTGTGATGTTACTCTGAGTGTATGTGTGATGTTACTCTGCCCACAACGGGCAGGCTTGAAAAATATGCCTGGCCACAGTGGGATTCAAACCTACGACCTTTGGAATGCTAGCCCAATGCTCTGCCACAAACCGTCCTCACCGCGTAGCTCAGTTGGCAGAGCATTAGGCTAGCATTCCAAAGGTCGTAGGTTCGAATCCCACCATGGCCAGGCATATTTTTCAAGCCTGCCCGGTGTGGATATACACTCAGAGTAACATCACACAAAAATCGTGCAGCCAGATTTTTCCCAAAAAGTCGGGATGGTTTTGCTATTTGTTTGACGTGAATGTTTTGGAGTTTGAAATAAGTTTTAAATAATTAAATTGTCTGTGAATATGTTACGTTTGACACAGTAAAATAATAAAGGAATCCTACCTTTCAAGTTAAATACAACATTTTGTGCTTCGTTCGTTTTCTGGGGACGATTTTTTCAATATTTTGTGGATTTTGAAACCAAATTTGCCAAATCACTCTTTTTAAAAAGCATTATTTACTACCAAGGTGGTAAATAATGCCTCAGATTTACTAGTCAGCTAGCCAATCAGAATGCATGAAAGTTCATTTTGATATGCAAAATTTATACTAATCCCCGATAAGGGACGGACCATTAGAAAAGTGATGGGGATGGGGGGGGGGG